TGTACTTACATGGTCTGGCAATAGTTATATGCCTTATATATCATTTATTTTACAATATTAGTCGGATTCATACATGTTTTATGACTTTTGTAAGTCAGACTCACAGTTAGGATCAGTGATTTTCCAGGGCAGTGCTTTCTCCGCTGCTAAAATCTGCTTCAGATTCTTCCACGTCCGATTCTTCTTCCCTGCTGCTGCTCCACCAATACCTGAGTGCTAGTGAAGGAGGAAGAACTTATGAATCTATTGAACTGTAACAGAGAATATTTTTCTCTGTCTTTATTCTGGACCAATCTTACCACAAAGTTGGGGTTCTTAAAAGGAAGACATTTGGCAGAAGTTTCTACATCAACAGCTCCCACGGGTTTTCCCTCAGAAGTCGACTCCACTGGAGCAACCTTTGATAAATGCAGCACCATCAATGAGAAACATTTCGTTATCAAATGAACCAAGGAATGTAAACGGTAGACCTGTGATGTAGAGAGGCTAGAATTAATTCTTTACCTGAGCTTGAGTAGTTGACGATGCAAGTTGTGTTTTTTTCTTTTTACCGCTGTTATTATTTGGCTGCGGGCTTGTGTGGGTCGCGGGACTGACGGCTCGTTTTTTGCTCCGGGCCTGAGCAATTAACGCCGCCGCTGTCACAACTTTACCCGTCGAGAGCGTCGCTGGATTTAAATCATTTGCGTTTGATACTCCCGGTTCAGAAGGGGCAGACATTTGTCTTCACTGACTTTTAACAAGCATAACCTGAAATTAAGTAAACACGTTAGCCTGCAGCTAATCACAACATCCCGTTCACCCGGAAGTAATGAGAACGTGCCAGACGTTTGTATTCCGTTGCTACACTCGATTTCGGCCGATGGTTCCGCTGGTGTTATAAGTTGGACTATAATTATTGTAGAACAAATATAAAACAAAATGAAAGATCATTGTTATTTATATATTTATGCTAAAATGATAATCTTTCAGCTTGTTTTATTTTTGTTCTGCTTTTTAGTTAAATGGCCAACACTTGTTCACATCTGAATTGAAAACAATAAAATGGATGTTCTACATACAGTGAATGAGCCTAAAATCTCTGTAATGTATTTGCAGTTTAATTTGAAATAGGGCCAACACATTGCCTATTCCCTTTCACAGCAGTTAGCTGAAGTTAAGTTTGATTTATGCTCTATGACAGACTCATTATAGAATACAAGAAGGTAACGCCATTTATATTTCAATCACATGTGTTGCTGGGGGAAATAAATGACTAATTAACTTTGTTAAAAACAGATGTCAGGTAATTATTTCTCCTCTCTCTGTAGAGTTTGATACTACATCCACCACAGTGGCATTGTCCTTCACATTTCCCTTCTCATCTTTCTTTCACTGAACGAGAGAGAAAAGTAATAAAAATGTACACAGCATCAAACATAGTTATTTCCATTTTAACCATTCACAGTATAGTTGTAAATTTGTGATATTAACTGATGTACAGATCAAACCACAACAAGACTTAATATGAAAACATTTATATTTCTTCTCGTTAAGGATGTCTAACTTGAGTTTATTTTTATAGCAATCAGGTATAGAGTTATCGATATATAATTTTTAGAAATATTACTTTCTTCATGTTTTGCCTATTTTACATCATATCCATGGAGAGGAAACTTCAAAGAGGTGAGTGTTACCTTTCTTCATTTCATTCTCTCTGTTCTTGTCCTTTCTTCGAATGCCGTTACTTGTCATTTCACCTTTTCTGCCGTCTCAAATTTCAACTTCAGAGTTAACTACGTTCTCTTTCATATGGACCCCTCTGAATGTTTTGAAGTGAAATATTGTTGGAGACATAAAGAGAAAAATGTGACAGAGAAATCACGCCATGCAGAGCTACACGCTCAGTAGAACATTATGTTGTCCTTGAGTTTATTCATTGCTGCCAGTACTTTTATCCTTCAAACTTATATTCAAAAAGCAGGCTATGTCATTTTCTTTATTGCACCTGGATTCCTTAAAAATGTAATGACAAAAAGGGATCCTGCTTTTCCAAAAGCAAAGACATTGTTGTAGCATTTCATGACTTTGCAGGGCAGTCAAAAGGCTAATAATTCCTGTGACATTTCAAATCCTTTGTGAATCATGAAGCATTTGCATAAAACTAACATAGCATTCAAAAACAAATGCTCCAACATTAACTCTTCCTTTCTCTTTTTTACAGCAGTAGTTCTCAACATTTTTAAACCAATATTCAGAGATGCCTTCATGTAGGCTTAGATATTTCCGTTGGCACTTCTGCAGTCTTACAGTGAATAAAACTTTCCCACAGTTTATCCTGGTATCCTGTTGACATTGCTCGATAATTATCACTATTATCACGCACATGCACACACACTCATTCCTCTTCCTCGAAGAAAACAACTGAGATGTTGCAGGCGGCTGCTGATAAGAAGGGACAGAACTCCTCTTTCCTGCTGGCTCTGCATCCTCTCTTGGAAGTTGACCTGAATACATCTGTTAGGTTCACCTCAATTTAGTCCTGCTGTAGTGTTTCGGCTGTACTACGGCTGAGATACTGTTTTTATAAAAAGTTGAGAGAGGAATGGGGCAAAGAACGCACTGAACACATTTGACATCTCATTTATATTTCATCAAGACGATGCTGCTACAAGTGGCTGGTGCATGGAATACATAAATAAACTATAGATGGAGATTCTGTGTTGAGGTTCAGTTGCAAACAACCATGAATATTTAAGAGTCAAACTTAAACTGCAATAAATGAAAGCTTAGGCTTTTTCCTGGGTCATTGTTTAGAAAGTCACTCCATTTCAACAAACCTCATATACACAACTGAATACTGAGAGATGTCAGCTGTGTGTGTGTGTGTGTGTGTGTGTGTGCGCTAATGTTAGTCTAAGCCTAAGGAACAAATTCACAAAGAGCATTTCAGAAGAAAAAAGGAGACTAAATATGCAGTGTCAGCAGCGCGAAGGTTTGATAAATAATATTACAGTGTACACTATTTTGATTTAATAGCACCAGATATGGCACTATTATTTTCCACAAAGATATATTATTACATCACTAAAACATAAGCAAAGTCAAGCAAGCACACTGAAGGAAAATATTCATTTTCATTTATATTTGTTTGAGTTTTTGCATATTAATATTGCTATTTTTGCTAAAACAAGCTAAATTCTGAAGCGACTTAAAAGTGAAAAACTAAATAAATACAATAATAAAATAAACGTAAAATAGAGTGAAGAATTTAATTTTATTTTAGGAAAACATTAATACTAAGGATTACGAATCAAATCATTCTCTAGAAGGTTTTTACAGCTGCACAGCACACAGGGCAAGGGTCATGTTGCTGTTGCCATTTTATTTTCTCAAACCAGGAAGTAAGTGTGTGTTTTTTCCAAAGTGCAGAAATAATCTCACTACAGGATGTCAACATTATGCAGCAGTTTATATCAAAGCAGTGCAAAACAAAGTGGTAGAGGTAGGATGATGGGTGACATTATGTAAAATTATATAAGCAATAAAAAGAAAGTATCACTTTAACAAAAGGGTAAACATATTGACCAAAGTGCTGTTATTTTAAATCTTTCCCAATAGTGGACCCACATCACAACATAAAACTGGCCTCACCTTAATAATTACAAGTGGTCTTAAATGGTGCCCAAAATGCATCCAAAAACATAGGTCTACTCTGAAGGGTTATGGAAAGGAAGGCAATAACATTTACATTTACATTTATTCATTTAGCAGACGTTTCTATCCAAAGCAGCTTACAATTGAGGAATACAAGCGGTTTATCACAAGAAGTGTTCGTAATACAAAGTTTCAGACATTGTTCAGATTAGTACAAGTACTAGACGGGGGATTGAGGAAAGAGAAAGCATTTTTTTTTAGGATGCAGTCAAATGTTGACGAAAGCGATGAGTTTTCAGCTGTCGCTTGAAAATTGTCAGGGATTCAGCATTCCGGATGGGGGTGGGACGATCATTCCACCAGCCAGGAACGGTGAATGAAAATGTTCTGGAAAGTGATTTTGGGCCTCTCTGTGATGGTACCACGAGGTGTCGCTCACTTGTAGATCTCAGGCTTCTGGAAGGGATGTAGATTCGTAAGAGTGAGTGGAAGTAGGAGGGTGCTGAGCCTGTGGTTGTTCTATATGCAAGCATCAATGTCTTGAACTTGATGCGAGCCGCAACCAGTAGCCAGTGCAAGGAGATAAAGAGAGGTTTGATGTGGGCCTTTTTGGGCTCGTTGAAGACCAGTCATGCTGCTGCATTCTGAATCATTTGAAGAGGTTTGATTGCGCATGATGGAAGTCCAGCCAGAAGAGCATTGCAGTAGTCCATCCTAGGAATGTCAAGGGCCTGGAGAAGAAGTTGTGCAGCATGCTCTGTTAGCAAGCATGCTTCATTCATAACAATAACATAGCATAACACAGCATAACAGTGCTACATTCAAATAAAAAATGCAATAGCCAAATAAACATGATTATATAGTCACTTGATAATATGCCTAATACAGTATTTGGACCAGTGTTTGATTGATGTGTTGTCACACTTCTGGTGTTGTTCATGCAAAACATCAAACAACACTGTCAACATTGTTTATGCAAAACAAAAGTGTTGATTTTCCTCTTCAGCCTATGTCATTTTACATTTTGTTGGGCCAGTGTAGGTCATGAATAAGAATTATATCATCAATAAAGCTAGATAACCATCATGCATTTACTATAAAAACTGAAAAAACTGTAGGAACAGAATCCGGGAGGTGTGCATTGGTTGGGTTAGCGAAGGAATAAAGCTATACTTAACTCTCTCTCTTTCAGAAGAGAAACTCTGCAGCTTTTTTTCTTCACAATGACTTGTATTATTTATTTAGTCAGACAGTTAGATGGTTGATAATAATATTTCCACTGTCCACCCATGGCTCTCCCACTTTTGTGCAACAGAAGCCATTAATGCCATTACATTGACAGTTCTCTTCCGGGTTGACAGAGTGGGCGGGTCTCTTCAGATGCTCCGTTAGACCAAGTAGCGGCGCTCAGTACTTTCAGCCGGAGCGTAGCGTTTATCCCGCGGACGGAGTGTCCTCGATCTTCGGCCAATTTACACCATAATTAACAGCGAACAGGCCGCCCCGCGCCCACTAAACTAACGGGTTAACATTCCTCTCGGAACGAGACGGCGGAGTTAGAGAAAAGCGCTGTATTTCAGGCCAACTCTCGGCTCGATCATGTTTGGGATTAATTTTTGAGGTACTACGATCTGAAGATCACATTTTCCCCAGCGCGTGGAGCCTCAGATCTGCACTGGGACGAAGCGAAAGAACTCAGCGGTCTCTCTTATTGTCTCGTGCGCTGTCGAAACGAGAAAAGGTAAAATCACTTAAAATCCACATCTTACATCTCTAACCCGCATAATTATCGGCTCCCGAGTCGGTTTCTCGGGCTCCTCTGTAGCCGGCTGGTTTTCTGGTCTGTTCATGTGTCAGTGTTAAGCAGAAAGACAGGAGGTTAATCTGGAGCAGCGGTGTTTCAATACGGGAATTCGACTTTTGTTTAACGTCAATAAAATTTCTTTCGCAGTGAAGGCGTGTATGCCAAGCCGTTATAACAAATTCCCCCCTTTAACTCTAGCTAGTATGTTTGATTATATTACTACTTATTGAGTAATTTATTAGTAAATAATCAAATATTAACTAACAATGAGCAATATATTTGCTACAGTATTTATTAATCTCTGTTAACGTTAACTATTTATTGTTAGTTCATGTTAGATCAAGTCCATTCAGTAATATTGACAGATACAACTTTTGTATTCATGTATTAGTATTATGTTGAAATTACTTAAGTAAGATTTAAGAAGTATTTTTCATTGTTAGCTCATGTTAACTAATGGAGTCAACTGTTGTCAACAAATGAAACATTTGTTTACCTATATTTTTCACTATTAGGCTACCGATTCAGGTTCTTGTATTCATTCTAGTAGTTAGTACTATCTATTCCATCCTAGTACAGATTAATGAGACACTAGTACCTCAGGTTTTACATTCCTTATATCACTAGGTGCAATTGTTTTTTTTACAGTGCGAGTGTAATTATTAGCCAAAATGGCTGCTCTATAGGTACATAAAAAAAGTTACACCAGTTGGAATATATATTACTGTCTAATGAAGAGGTACTAATATTCAGTTGTCATTAGGAAAACTGGAATAGATATTACTAAACCTTAAAATAGTCACTATGATATGATATGATTTATCTGAATGACAAATTCCCATAGAATTCAGTGGCGACGATTAGTTCAAATTTGTTACCGAAAACAGTGGAGTAGTTACTCGTCATTTTGGGATAGTGATTAGTAAAAAAGGAATAAGTACTGATAACTAATAATTAATATGTTCTAGTAGTGACTTATTCAAAGGATACTAGTCACCAATGGGATAAGTAGTAGGATTTAGTATGTAATGAATAGCTACTAATGAAGTAAATAAATATCTGCAAAAAATTACAATGAAAAAGGATTAAAAAAAGATTCACTGTTGGATTAATTGAAATGGCTTGCCAAAAGTATTTTGCTGTTCAGATTGACGTTGCTGTTCAGACATTTGCTCTTTTGAGGGCTGCTTCAGTGTGTAGGAAGAGTCAGAGAAGTAGGCTGACATAAAAAAAAAAAAAGTGAACATGGAGCTGATCCCGAGTGTTGCTTCTATTCTTCTGCTGTCGAATTCAGTGATGGGAAGCTTTGACCCCCAGTTGCCTTGTTTGTGTGTTTAAATTATGTAATTCTGCTATGCTTATTACTGAATAGCACTTGTCTGGTATAAGAGCTGTTTTATGGTTCAGTGGCTCTCAGGAGCCCATTGATGACATGACAGGCAAAATTGAGCATGCTTTTGTCGAACACCCCAAGTTGTCATCATCACGTATTGTGTTGCTTGCTGCTGAAGCATTACTAAATAAGTTGTCAGTCATGCTTACAGCCAGTGACGCTCCTTAAACTGCTGGCAGATTGGGCAGCGTCCACTCCTTTAAATTTGATTACATTTGGAGCTCTGTGTTGGGGCCGTCATTATAGATCCAGTGGATGATTGATCATCAAGACAGACGGTGCACTTATGTCTTAGTAATCACTGGAAGGACCATTAGAAGATGAGAGCATGGAGACGGCGGGCGGTGGGCCCCTAGAGTCAAAAATGAAGCTGTACAAGCAGAGGGTGCAGGAACGAATCTGTCATGTTTTTTCACAGAGGAGAGAACGAGCTATCCATTATTTATCGGCTACTTTCACTGGCCTTCTTCTCTGCTTTAAACAGCGCACTGGCTATGTGGATTTTGGACAGACCCCTGGCTACATGTGTGCTTTAGTTGGGGGGAATTGATAGTCCCAGTGTGTGAGGGGCTAAAGCGTAGCCTGAGGGCATCAAATGCTAGCTGTGCTTGGAGAATACGTTAAACCAAAAAGGGTAGAGGCAAAGCATTGCTTTAAGACTGTAATATATTTCTAGTCTGTGCAGTATTGTTTTGATACTTTTTTTGTGAATAATTCATTGAATCAATAGAAGATTTTGTGTCAAGCTGATTTTTATTTTAATATTTTTTTTAATTAATTTTTACAGTTACTGTTGTTTTTAAAACTCTAAAACCTCAACTGACATTACAAAACAATAGGGGTGCTCCGATCAGGATTTTTGAGGCCGATCGCCGATCACAGAAAGCAGTATCTGCCGATACGATCACCGATACCGATCTTTTTAAAGCCTTATTTTTATCATGTAAAATTATTTTATTCTCCAATCAGGAATTTTAGACATTTATTCAGGGCCTGAATTTCATTTTTGAAAATGGGGGGAATTTCCCTCTTATAGGTGACTCTTGTGAGAGGGGATTTTTGTTTTATTTAAAGGGTGGAGGGGAGCATTCTTTAGACATTTTTCAAAAATATATATATTTATCTCACCTAAATGTTCGATCATGAAGTGTATTTTTGTTTTTACACTTGTGCAGTTGTTGCAGAATAGCTTGCACACAGCACAAAAAAGTTTCTCAAGTAAGTGGCAAAACATTTAAAATAAATTTTTTACATTATCACAAACATTCTAAATTAAAACTTACCACTGACAGAAATAGTCAGCTCTACTGCCTTTCCTTTTGCTTTTAAATCTTTATTACACGCAATCCTGCAGTTCATAAAGAACTTTGTTTTCCTACCTCCACGAGTGCCATTTATTATTGCCTTGTTTATCTAAAAGTGCTCTTTTCCTTTAAAACTAGCCAACAAGCCATATGTGTTGACTGTGAAACACAGTAGACTTTAATAATATGCATTTATGGTGTAATTACTACGTGTTCGTTTTCATATTTACCGCAAACAATGCGCTGTTATGCCATTTGCGCATTTTGAGAGAGAAAGAGAGAGCGCGTGTGGTGATTCACTCACGATGTTTGTGAAATTATGTCCCACAGAAGGTTTTCAAATAACTTTAAGAGTTATTTAATGAAGAAATATGAATTGCACCTCACCTTCAGCATTATAATTATTTCACCCGCGCCAGACAGAGAATGAGACGGTGCCGCTGCATGTCGTGCCAAACCTCTGATGGCAGACGCGTCATCAGATTGAGATCGGTTTTTGGAGATCAGCCTTTTTAGAGACCACCGATCAATCATCCCAAAGCGATTATCGGCCGATAGTGATCGGTAGCCGATCAATCGGAGCACCCCTACAAAACAATATTATAGTATTACACAAAAAATGGTAGAATATAGTAGTAGAATAAAATGAAAAAGAAAAAAGACATGAGATGTAAATTTAAAATGGATGTATTAACTATGGAAAAATATAGTGGGAAAAAAAGAATGCAAAAAAAAAAATGAATAAAGAACCATTTCAATGGAAAAAAGTAAAAATAACACAAGCATTCGTTTATAGGATGATATTTTCATGCAGTTTAAAAAAAATTTATAAATGGATAAGAATAGTGAATTTAATGGAAAAATATCAGTTATGATAATAATGAAGTCATTTCTAATAGGAAACAAAATTCATTCACACCATATTTTGATAAATCACGATAGATGCAGCAGTCTTTTTTCTCCATTGACATATTGGTAAATTTAATTAATTAGTAGATTTAACCAATGATTGATACTTAAAGTTGGTGTGAGATAAAAATTCACATTATTTAATAAATGCATGTTAAAGATCATATTTTGAATGATTCATCCATGTATGCTGAATTTTTTTTTTTGTTTAAATTGACTTCATAATCATAATGTCATAACTTGATCTTCCAGTAAAAATGACTGACTCTTTGGTTATGTATACCAGACTTCTCCAATCATTTAGTCTGCTTAAACTCCGCCCCTCTACAATCACCCACATCTCAAAATCCAATCAACAACCTCTGAATAGAACCAAATTCCCGGCCCACACTTTTTTCCTTTTTGGAGAGTTACGTCACAGTATGGAATAAAATATCTGCTGCTACTTCCGTTTCATCGTGTCTAACTTGAAAATCCAAAAAGTCATGAATAACACAATGTTCTTGGCAATAGTTAAAGATAAGGTCAGGCAGATGTGGAAGTAACTTAGTGCTGAGAAATCTTGGAGAGAATAGGCTGCCGGGTCCTACATTTATAGGAAATGAATCATATTCCACGGGACCAGTCTGTGCAGCACAGCATGCTGTTTCCCCTCTCAGCAAGACTTCAGCAGAACTGCAGATGTGCATCCTTAATGCGTACAGTTCTCGGCATGTGCATGCGATTGTGCGAGTGAGGCGCATGTTGTTGGTCTGACAGTGGGAGCGGCTCTGCGTTTGACACGCTACTGTGCGTTTGCATTTAGCTTCGTTCTTTATGTGCGAGTTTATGCTGGTGTGCGTTCGTCGATGTTTGTGTTGGGGAAGGGGGGGGGGAGGTTTGTTTAGTGTGTTCCTCCTAGAGGCTTTGGAACAATAGTCCCATTCTGTGACTCTCCCTATCTGCTGCCCGGGCCTGGCCGAGTGCTTGCCAGAACAGACAGACAGATGGAAGGGATCGTGTTCCTGCCGGCACCTGGCATCACAGAGCACAGGAATGCTATTGTTCCTCGGTAACCCAGCGGCCGACTCGCTTTCCTGGACAGGCAATGTCGAAGCGAGGGTGGAACTGAATTATAAGTCACGTTGGGGAAGGGGGGGGGGGGGTTTGTTTAGTGTGTTCCTCCTAGAGGCTTTGGAACAATAGTCCCATTCTGTGACTCTCCCTATCTGCTGCCCGGGCCTGGCCGAGTGCTTGCCAGAACAGACAGACAGATGGAAGGGATCGTGTTCCTGCCGGCACCTGGCATCACAGAGCACAGGAATGCTATTGTTCCTCGGTAACCCAGCGGC